TATATATATATATATATATATATATATATATAATTTTGAAACACAATCATTTATTAACATACGTGCGTGTTTATTTTAGCACTTCCGTCAGTGAATACGCAGCCTGCAAAACACTAAAATAAATATCAAACAGTTAAACAAGTTAAACAAGAAAGTAGCCTAAATAAAGTTAAATACACCCTGTCTACCGGACGCGAGCAGACACGACAATATAGAACTTATTATAATCAGTGATGCTACACTGGATGCGGCGCGACACGACAAATACCCGATAGTAAACTGCCTCGTCCTATTTATGATGTACTGACACAGTTCAAATGTCCTGTGTAGACACTAGACAGACTCAACCTGTTGCGACGCGGCGGTGTCGTGTCCGGTGTAAGACACAGTTCACCGTTTCGCCGCCAAGCAAGCGGGCGCATTAACATCTGCACGCGCTCTCTTTTAAATAGGAATCGTAGCCACATTTCTTGTTAACATCTTTCATTTACCACTGTCTCGTAACTTGTATTTGGCCAGTTTGGAGAAAGCCTCACCAATACAAACCTGACCAGCCAGGCGTTTGCGATCACGGGAACTTGACACTTGTATGAACGCGGATGGGTGACATGAATGGAGATGGCTCCAGATCGGCGATGTAGTATTTGGTTTCCCAAGAAGGTCCATCGCTCAACGTGAAATTAATTTGCTGAATGCATAAACTGTATAAACTGTTTTCCTGCGCTCAAACCTGCCAATCTAAAGGAAACGCTGTGTATGGCGTTTGAGGTAATTTGTGAATTACCATAGACTTATAGTCTAAATAAAACAATTTGCAACTATTAACTGTTATTACACTTGTATACAAAACTTCGTATTATGCTTGTTGTGCGTGACGTCACGTGCCCTACCGCCGGTGGCAGTAGACAACCGCGGTGGCAACTGACCACCGCGGTGACGCGTCACGGCGACCGTCACAGCCCTAATTGGAATATTGTGCAACCTAAACATACAGAATCCAAACAAAATCAAGAAATGATTACAGAATAAGAATAAATGTTCATGACAGATATGAATAAAATTCTGTAATCATGACCAAAGAATCAAGTGCTTATTTTAACAGTGATGAGGAGTGGCATCTGAAATTTGGCTACATTAAAGGGTGAAAGATCTCTGTCCACTATATCCAATAGTCCTGCAACAGTAGCAACTCTGGAATAAACTAAAAGTGTGAAAACACAAGAACTGCCTTTTCATGAGATCCATCTAAATTTCTACAAAACGCATGTAAAGAGACCACACACCTGACAGTTATGGTGTTACGATAGCTTGGCAGCAGTTCTTCCATGTTAAGAAAGCGTGTGATTTCCTCCAAAATCAGGCGAACATCTGCGTTTAAGTTGTCCACTGTGCGCACCTCGTTATTAATGCTGATGGCAGGAGTCAGTGAATTTGTCAGGGCATCAATCAGCTCAGCATGATAGTAATTATCAGAAAACTGCAGTAGAAAAAACAAGATTGCAACAGTTCTATGATATTACCTCTGACAAGTAATTTATGTAAATAAAGACAGCAATATATAGAAAAAAAGATGAGCTTTCAGGTTTAGATCAATTGAAACACTTGTAGCATGTAGCCTTCTACCTGTCACCAAAATGCTTATTTCTTTTCTACATACCAATTTTCTTTGCTGTATTACCTTGTTCTTCCGGTTGTCATTGTATTTGATGAGGTCCAGTATAAAGTTGAGGACCTCTTTGGGACACAGATTCTGAACCTCTCTGAGCAGAGCCATGGCCACAGGCATAGTCTACATAAAAAGAAAAGTCAAGTGTCATTCTAGCAACATACAGTATAAAGTTGTCGTGCAAAAGATTGACATTAGTGTTCAGACTTCTTCCTTGAAATGGAAGTAGGTGTCAGGGTTTTGAGTAGCCTGACAGCCTGATGTGTTGGCCCATATGCTACAATGTACAGCCGTGGCCAAAAGTATTGAGAATGAAACAAATATTAATAAGTCTGCTGCCTCAGTTTTTATGATGGCAATTTGCATATACTCCAGAATTTTATGAAGAGTGATCAGATGAATTGCAAATAATTGCAAAGTCCCTCTTCGCCATGAAAATTAACTTAATCCCAAAAACATTTCCACTGCATTTCAGCCTTGCCACAAAAGGACCAGCTGGCATTATGTCAGGGATTCTCTCATTAACACAGGTGAGAGTGTTGATGAGGACAAGGCTAGAGATCACTGTGTTATGCTGATTGAGTTAGAATAACAGACTGGAAGCTTTAAAAGGAGGGTGGTGCTTGAAATCATTGTTCTTCCTCTGTTAACTATGGTTACATGCAAGGAAACACGTGCAGTTATCATTGCTTTGCACAAAAAGGGATTCACAGGCAAGGATAATGCTGCTAGTAAGATTGCACGTAAATCAATCATTTATCAGATCATCAAGAACTTCAAGGGGAGAGGTTCAATTGCTGTGAAGAAGGCTTCAGAGAGCCCAAGAAAGTCCAGCAAGCGCCAGGACTGTCTCCTAAAGTAGATTCAGCTGCGGGATCGGGGCACCACCAGCGCAGAGCTTGCTCAGGAATGCCAGCAGGCAGGTGTGAGTGCATTTGCATGCACAGTGAGGAGAAGACTTTTGGAGGATGGCCTGGTGTCAAGAGGGGCAGCAAAGAACCCACTTCTCTCCAAGAAAATACAAGTACAATGCTGTTTCATGCATTCAGAGTTGTTTACACTGTTAAAGAGTTGGATTCTCATGCTAGGCATGGACAAAATAAAAAAAAAACTATTTGGACATATGACTGAGTATTTATGTGCTAAAAATCTTACTTTCGGGTTCGTTAGTTTCGATCGTGGCTCTTCATGACGTAAATGAGGGTGGAGCTCCTTATGTCTGAGGGTGGAGCTCCTCCAAATGTTTGTGTTTTGTTGGCAGTCGGAGCTAAGGTGCTCGTCAATCTTTAGCTCCGCCCACAATATAAGACGACCGCATTTTTTCCAGATGTATTTCCAAGAAAAAAACATCGTCTTATATTCGGGACAATACGGTAACACTGAAAGTAGACAAATGAGAAAACGGCTCTTTTTTCGTTTTTTTTTCTTCAAAGAAACGAAAAACAAGAATTCAGCTTAATTTTTCATAGAAAAATGAATAAAACGGATTGAATATTCGATTTCTACATGTGGGCGGGAATTAAACGCCCCTTTCTGCTGATTGGTCAGCCGAAGATCAAACCGTACCGTCATCAGTTCTTCCTCAGTTCCGCGCAGCAGAATAATAGTCCTCCGCTGCTGCAGTATGGATTCTTAAAGCGTTTTATTGCAACTACATTTCATATTTTTCTCATCAAACAGACTAATGAATAGCTCGACACAACTCGCCAGGAAACTCCCCAGACCTTAATCCCATTGAGAACTTGTGGTCAATCCTCAAGAGGCGGGTGGACAAACAAAAACCCACAAATTCTGACAAACTCCAAGCATTGATTATGCAAGAATGGGCTGCCATCAGTCAGGATGTGGCCCAGAAGTTGATTGACAGTATGCCAGGGCGAATTGCAGAGGTCTTGAAAAAGAAGGGTCAACACTGCAAATACTGAGTCTTTGCATAAACTTATTGTAATTGTCAATAAAAGCCTTTGACACTTATGAAATTCTTGTAATTATACTTCAGTATACCATAGTAACATCTGACAAAAAGATCTAAAAACACTGAAACAGCAGACTTTGTGAAAATTAATATTTGTGTCATTCTCAAAACGTTTGGCCACGGCTGTATCCACTGAGATAGCAATGGAGTAAAAGGTTTGTGGAAGATGTGAGTTGGATCTTTGGTGATGCTGTGGGTCTTGTTCAATCCGTGTATTATTCGTTCACTCGTTTTTTTTATTTACCGTATTGGCCCGAATATAAGACGACCCTGATTATAAGACGACCCCCCTTTTTCCAGATGTACCTTTTGGAAAAAGGCTTTTTAAAAACCAAATCTTCTTTTTTCTCAGTAAAGAAACGAAAAACAAGAATTCAGCTTAATTTTTCATAGAAAAATGAATAAAACGGATTGAATATTCGATTTCTACATGTGGGCGGGAATTAAACGCCCCTTTCTGCTGATTGGTCAGCCGAAGATCAAACCGTACCGTCATCAGTTCTTCCTCAGTTCCGCGCAGCAGAATAATAGTCCTCCGCTGCTGCAGTATGGATTCTTAAAGCGTTTTATTGCAACTACATTTCATATTTTTCTCATCAAACAACCAGACTAACGAATGGCTCGACACAACCCACAGAGCCTAGACAAGGTTTTCTTCTGTTTAGACCAGCGGTTCCATGAGGTGACCAGAGGGTCCGCGAAATAATTTGCTAGCCTACCATATTTTCCAGACTGTAAAGTCACTTTTTTTTTTCATCATGATACAGGCTGTGATTTATTCCAAAGTGATTTATATAATGCATTTAATGTAAAATAATCTAAATGTAGAATATTCGTTCATGTTAGTGGCGTGTGCTAGAAAGATGTTCAAGGAGACTACAGCAGCGCATTCAGTTTTTTTCTTTTTCTTTTTTGACATTTTGTAGTCAATTTTGAATGTACACAAATAAAAATAAAAAAGTGCGCTTGCGCGTGAATGAAGGCTTACAATGACTTACAAACCTTATTAAGGGGAGCCGAGCTCCCCCTAGCTCCCCCGTAGTTCGCACCCTGAACATGTAGACTTAGATATTGCTTTTTTGACTTATTTACATATGTTACATATGTAAATAAGTCAAAAAAGCTATATCTAAGTACTTCTATTTAACTACGATTTTAAAATTAAAACTAATAAAAACTATAGTAAAAACTATATGAAACTATTAAAAATCATGTCTTGTTTCACCATCTAGATATTACAGCCCGTATATTTATATAAAAGGCTATGCAGACATCTAGTGGCTATACAGTTTAGTATTACGGTTTTATTTTTCTTTATTTTTTCTTTTTTTCTTTAACACGTACAAGTAAAAATAAATATAGTTTATACACAACATTAAAAAA